ACTTTCTCAGAGTTTATCCTACAGTGTTTGCTATGTCAAAAATTAGGGGTTTTTTGTACAAATAAACTGTAATTTTTTTTAGACAGCATTAAATTTGGATGTCGTTGTTTTTGTTCATCTATGAGCTGGTCACTGGCTATCTGGTGTCTAGTAGATTCAGCTGCATGAGAATCCCTTTAACATGTTAAAGCCAGCCAAAGCTATGTGAGTTTAAAGGGAAAAGCATTCAAGGCAAAAAACACTTAGGTATCTCAAGTGTATAAATATCTGGAATGCAAGCAATTCAATGTGCAAGTCAATGTAGGGTCTTCATGAAAATATTTAAGCTACAGAGCACAAAGGTGTGTGACTCTCATGCATGTACAGTACAGCTGTACTTTGCAAGAGTGGATGGAAATAGGCATACATATGAAAGAGTGCCTGATTTTCTTCCAAGAAAGTGAAAACTATTGGGATGAATTTCAGTGGACGCCATCAGGTGCTCAGCGTAACAGAAAAAAATCACACCCTAGAGACTCAGGGACTAAATATGCTGAAAAACTACAGCTCCCATTGACATCAGTGGAAAATATAAGTGCTTAACACCTCTAGAAATTGGAATCTGAATATGTAAAGGGTACTTTCTTTTCTGGTATCTCTGGGGATTTGTCCATATTATTAAAATATACTATGTGACTTGAATTGCTGTTACAGATATTAAGATACAGGCTCATGTAAAAGTATAGTTATCAAAAGACAGACTCATATCCTCCTACAAAGTCTTACTGAGTTTCATAGGGATGGAACTACTAAGCTTTCATATAACTTACACCAAAACCTATTGAAATTAATAGTAAATGTTTTCCTTTGTACAGAGTTTTCTAACTTGTGTATCACATTTTATAGCAGCAATACAGCTTTCTTTTTTAACTTGGTAATGTAGCCCCAAAGTTGAAATGTTTTAATTTACTATTAAATTTTATATGACTTTTACAAAGGACCAGAAGGGGCATTAGCAACCAGAGCCTGGACACACAACTCTTCACACAGGAACACTTTCCCTAGACAACTTCTTACTTTTGAGATGCAAATCTAGAGAACTCCACTAAAAACTAACCAATCACTCTCCTAGATGGATCTGAGGGATCAGAATATGTCAAGGCAATAATTACTCCTATGTACATAATATAATTTTCACATGCATTCATTCTGCGTGCTCATAAAGTTGTTCCTACAATATACCTTAAGCACCCAGTCCCACAGTACTTAGGTGCCAAATAAATGCTTTCAAGAGCTAATAAATTACTGTTGTTATCACAGCATTCCTATCCATTCAAACTACAGGCTTTTTGAACACAGCAGTAACTTATATTCTGTTACAAGGAAGCCTAGTTACAAGTTTTTGTCCCTTGGATACACATTTGAATTGACACCACCTGCAGTGTAACGTGCAAAGCGCCCAAAGGGAGATGATCTGAAAATGCATGTTTAATGATAAGCAAATATATTGGGGGATTCCTTAACATGAAGTCCCATTTTACTAATATGTTTGTTGCTTTATATCACGGGCTAGAGATGTTTCCTGACACCAGGTGTAATCAGCAGCAAGGTTAAAGGAATGAGTGTGACCCTAAAAGTTAGGTTCTCCTGAGCATTTGCTGTGTCAGATTCAGACCTCCTTTGTCAGCTCCTTGTGTCCTGGAGCAAGTCTCTTAGGGTGCATCTTTACCACTTCTTTGGCAAGCCTAAGGAGCAGCTCTTTCAAACACCCCCCCCAAGACACCTTCTCTTGCTGCACACAAGAAAATGGGGCAGTGAAGCTGTCCTAAGGACAGCCCTACTGCTACTCTTCAGTACCATGGAGGGAGCAGTTTCAAGAGCACTATACCTTCTGGAGATTTCAGCACCTCATTTCTTGGATTGGCATGTGTGGAGCAGAACGAGAGGGTCGTGGTGTGCTTCAGAGTGGCAAACCCTGGGATCTCCACAGAAGAAGCACAGACATAGGGGCAGATTAAATCTCCTCCCTCTTGGTCAGTAGTACCTCGCTCAAAGTGTGACACAAGCACATATAGAGCCATTTCAAAAGGGGAGGGATACCTTTGGTCCAAACTGCGGCAGCTGTTATATTGCGACAGTGTGTGGACATACCAGGAACAACAGAGATGTAGCTAAACAGCTCCAACATTGCTTCTTTCAGGGTAAGTGTTAGAACATAACAGTGGCTGCATGCTCCCAATCAGCAGCTCCCCTTTTGAAACAGCTCTGCATGTATGCATGCCCATGCCCTCAGAATAATTTCACAGAATTTATTCGCTAACATGGTAGTCAGTATGAACAGGAGAATTAATATTTGGGACTTAAGCACTCTGCATCTCAGTTTCCTCAACTGTAAAATGAGGTTCCTAAAACTTAGCTAACAGAGTGTTGTGTGGGTGAGTTCATGTTTGTACAAAGCCGTGTTCACTGTGGATTAGAATATACCTTCTATATAAGGAAGGCATGATTAAAACATGAGAGGCAGTCCAATTAGAAATGCCTGCTCAAAATCTTTCAAATGCTTGCACAAATCTTCATTGCTAGAAGTCAGATTTTTCACCATTTGTTTCCTGCCTAATAGATCCTTTTGAATTTCAGCTACTTCTCCCATTGCTTGAAGTGGTGAATCTCAACCACATGCTAGTCAGGTACTCCAGTATGTCTTCCTTGTCATCCCCTCAGCATGGTTTTGTGCATGCAAGCTTAAAACTCATTTTCTGAAATTTGGCCTCATGAGATTCTAGATCATTTTTGCCTGCAATAGGGACATAGACTTCTTGAATCAAGATATCCCTTCCAGTCCTATGTATGTTTCTTAGACGTCTTTAACCTGCTGGAGGATTCCCTGTTTGATATTAAGGTGGTTATTGTGCATACTGTCAATGATCCCATGCCACCGTCAATATGGAGGGGTCACAGAATAGATTTAAAAGTATAAGTGTTCTTCAATAAAAAGTGACACAAACGTTATCCTTATAAACCTGAGAATTCAACTGTTCCTTTCTTTACTAAAGCTAAAACATTCTTATCACAACATGCCAAGCAAACAGAAACCTCCTTGGCTTTTAATATAAAAGGAGAATACCCTGTCATTTCTGATAATACCTAAATTCCCAGCATACACTATATATGCTATAAACATTATATGTACACTGTATTTACATGCAAATAATAGCATCAGCTGCTAAACTGCACAGACGTTTGTTCCAGTATATCACTTCAAGTACTCATAGATGTGAGCCTAGCAAAGCCAAAGATAATAATGTTAGGTCGTGAAACATTTAGTAGTATCGTGCCGTCTTGCCAGATGTCCTTAACTTTCATTGGCATTGGTAGGACTGCTATGAATGGATGGCTAAAAGAAAATAATTTTGTATGCAAGATTTTTGCTTTCTCTGATATTAAGGTTATGAATATTCAGCTTTTGCTGGTCATGAAGCTGCTGGGACCCATTCACTCAGTGCCTCTTGCACACAGTTGTAAACACAAAGTGAAACCTCAAGATTTATATCTCTTTGCATGTCACTGCTTGAGGACAGTATCTCAATGCAGAAAGGAGCCATGGCCAGGGCTCAGCACACAATACAATGCATGTGACAATCTGGTCCTAGTGGCCTGGTGGCAGTTCACGTGTTTAACACAGGACCTCACAGAATTCCTCCAGCACTTTGATTGGCTCCAGGCAACTCCTGTGAGGTGCTTTCAACTCCCACTGATTTCTCTGGGAGTTAGGTTGTTCAGCCCCTGCCAAGCAAATATTCTGGGGAACAGAGGCTTACTGTATAACCCCGTTTCTCCTCTTCTATAAAAACACTACTGCATTCTACAGGGATGCTCCAAAGCTTGATAGCTTACTACAGCATTGAGTTCTTACTGTAGATACAGGGGGCCTTTCCCTTTTTTTTTGATGCCACTCATTTATTTAGGAGATTCCCTTGTTCTCTTCAGTGGTGTACACCAAAAATATTCAAATTAACATTATTGTTACGCTTTATCAAATTGCCAGAGTGATTAGTAATTGGTACTGCAGAACGATGTCATATTCTTTGCTTAATGGGCTGAAAGAGCCATCTAATTTAAATGCGGCTGCAAGGTCCAGCTTAGCTGCTTAATTAGCTGAGAACAGACACGGTCATTTTGAAATGCCCAATCTAGCTGTAAGCTCCTTGGGGCAGGGGCTATAGTTTGTTCTGCCTAGCTTAATGGGGTCAGGGTCTATGACTGGGGCTCCCAGGTGCCCTCACTGTACAAATAATAAATAACTAACTATTAGGATCATATTCGCCTGTTTAGTGAATAATAAAGATATTGAAACTACTGTTTTGTAAGTCTACCATGTTACATTCACATCTCTTTTTCTAACAAAACACAGGTCGACTGAGAAACTTCTCTTGTGTGAGTCAATTAAAAATGTAAGAGCACAGAAAGTGGAACTGGATGACTCTTTTCAGCTGGGTAAGTTGAACCAGGTCAATAATAAAAGGTGGTGAAAAAAATCTATGATCTGTGGTATGAGTAGAGATTCCTAGCCAAAAGGATTTCCTAAGCCCCTTTTCAACTACTGACTTGTTTAACAGTGAATGCCAAAGTTCACTGAAGGGTCTCCTAGGAAAGAAAAAAAATTCACCTCCTCACTGAACCTGCTACTCAATCAGTCTTTCCAAGCATGAATAAGTGAAAACCTTTTAAACATTCTGATGCCAAGTGTGGAAATGGTTATATATTATTTAACAACTGATTTCCTCCTTTATAAGAAAGCCCTCAACATCTCAAAAACGGGTATTTTTCAGTTTGACCTCTTGAACTGCCTAGGTAAAAAGGTAAGAATTCTGCAACATAATCATTACTACAAATACTTATTAAGGTTAGCAAACCACAGTAAATTGTCATTTCAAATCCCAATTCAGAATTCCAACTTAAAAACATACACCATCAGCAAAGAAGAAAATAACGTGCATTTTTGTATCACATAGATGAAATACCTTTGATTCCTGGCTGGTAGTAGATGCTGGAGAGGGGGGCTGATCTGTATTCTCCAGTTCATTTTCTTTCTCCACGCTATCCACGCTGACTTCAGTAGTGCTGCACGGAGGAATCATTTTACTTCTGTAATAATACTGCTGCTATCGTGAAGGGAGCTACAATCTTCTCCTGTTTTGTTTATTTAATCTGTTCTTTCTTCCCTGTTCTTCTAGAGCAAATGAACTCCTCTCATTCTCAATTTGACTATATTTGCAAGGCTAGAATTCTCTGGATTTTTTTTTTCTTCTCCTCCTCTTCCTCCTCCCCTCTTTTCCTCTCTTTCCCCTATGTAATTCTGCTGCAAGGGAATTAAGTTATTGATGGATCTGTAGGTCAGTTATGTGCCTATTTCTGTGTTTTTCTTGGTCCTTCTTTCCTCTGTGAAGCCTGAAGGTGTAGAACAGAGTCGTGACTGTCAGCCCAGTGATCAAATGGGAGTGTGCTGAAGCAGAAAGCCTGAGCTGCTCACACACATGGGGCACTGGAGGGAGGAGTTGTATTTCTAATGCCTTGAATAGCTTTGTAAGAGCATGTGCTGTCATAGTAGTGAAACAAAGTAATGCACACACATGCATACAGCAGCACATGTGGCTTGGGACCTCTATTACCTTTTAATTAGGCTGAGGATCTTGGAGCACAGCACCATTTAAGGAGGGGCAGCTGTTCACTCAATATTCCTATCCATCTTGGGGTGTTTGTGTGATATAGAGTTCAGAGAAAAAGAACAAAATACAGTTGTGTCCCCACCAGAGATGGCCATTAAAGATCAAACCATGCTACACTTTCAGAATACAAAAATTTCTCCCTAGCAGGGGACAAAGCACATTCCATGATATTACCCCAACCTGGAAGTGCATTGAAGATGCAGGCAGAAGAGCATCTTTGAGTGATGCACATGGAATCAGGCATGGCAGCAGCTATTAAAAGGTCGAATGAAGCATCCAAGATGCACAAAGCCTCTACCCAGAGGTTGCCACGGTGATAATGCTGGATATGTGAATAAATGGTGGTGTCCAGTGAGGCAGTGGGAAGCCTCTCTGCTCAGTGGAGGCTAGTGTTTGTCACATGTGACACAAGTAGAATGAGTTAGTGCTTAGCAAAAATGTACACCTAGTGGCCAGATCCTCTGTAAATGTAAATCAATGTAGCGTCAGTGACTTTCTGGTATACACTTACTGAGGATGTGGTCCAGTGCATTTCCAAAATGATTTGACACTTCATCCTCTGTCTTTGCAGTCACAAATCTTGCTACATAGGACAGAATTGGCGGCATTTTATTTAAAGGGGATTCAGTCAGGTATTTTTGTTTCAGTTTGTCATGTTATTGTGGGATGCATTTCTCACTCCCTTTTCACACCGTTTTAAGGCTTGATCCCATGAAGGCTCAAGTGCCACAAAATCATTAGGATTTGCCCGTGCTCAGCTCCTCCAAGGTGTGCTAAACACATTTCGCAACCCTTCACAACATCAAGGAAATATATGACCCTGAAATATGAATCAGAACACTAGCTGAAGTTAATTTCTCCTTTTAACTGTAATGGTATTCTGACAAGTGACATTGTAAAGAAGGCACTCAGCAGATCTGTTACCTCTGTACGCTTGAAGGTGTATCTGCTGGCCTTTGACACAAAAACATTTTGACTGCTTTCATGTCCTGTAGCTAGAAAGAGCGAATCAAATTCTGTTTTGGCCTTTGCCTCAGCAACAGGATAGTTAATCAAAGCTCTGCTGCAGGTCCCTCCAGTTAATTGACTGAAGTTGGCTGCAGGTGTAAATGAAGGCAGAATAGGAAGAGAATCACAGAAGCATAAAAAAACTAGGGTCGGAAGGGACCCCAGGAGAACATCTAGTCCTACCTCCTGCCTGAGGCAGGATCATCCCTATCCAAAACATCCCATACAAATCCTTGCCTAACTTATTACTAGAACTACACAGATCCATTTTAAATTACCCAATTGTGACTTGTGGCTACTGAGCCAGTTGTCTAGCCACCATATAATAGGATTTTTACAAGTGCAAGTCAGGGCAGAATTTAGCCTGCAGACTCTAATGCCTTTGTAATGACACAAAAGCCGGCAAGCCAAAAAACAGACCTTGATTTTGAATTCTCAGGGGAGCTTTCAGGGATGGAGTTGTTGGTGGACGGGGAGCAGAGGGAAACTTTCCTCCTTGAAAATGGACCATATCCAATACTGAAATCCTTAACAGACAACAAGCATAGGACACCAGGATGCTGCTTTGTACAGTCTCTTCAGAGCACAACTTTACGTACCTGCCAACACAATTCTTTGTTTCGCTGCTAGCAGGTAGGAGAGCTACAGCTGTCAAAAAAAAGAAAAAGAAGAAGAAGCACACCGACCCCTAGTTTAGTCAGCTAAGATTGAGGTGAGGAAATACAGATGTCAGAATGGCTGACTTGGCAACCAAGTGAGGTAGGAACTGGTTTACAAACTTTTGAACGTTAAAATCTGAGAATGTTCCTCTCGTGAGCCAGAGAGAACATTTCTAAACATCCTTGCACTGGCTCCAAGAGTCTGGGTTTGCCATGGCATCCATCTCACAGAGAGAATATCTCACCAAGGAAAGGGAAGAGCTTTAAGCACATTAGAGGAAGGGGTTATCAAGCAGGGACTGGTCAAACCTGGAGACAGAAGGGACAGGGACAAATGTGAGAGACCCTTTCAAGAAGATGTTAGCCTGATGGAGCTGGCACTCGTCCTCTGTGAAGATGGTTATCACTGCTTGCAGATTCCAGCTGGCTTTCAGATGGACTTTGAAAACATTTTAGAAAACGAAGCAGCTTTGCCTAACAGAACAATGTTGGAAAACTCCATAAGGATATTCCTTCCTCCTTCCATGGGTATTTCGAGCTCAAATTTATTAAGCCCCTACCTAGATCCTGTTAATAATTAGGGAGCTCAGGCACATCTTGTACAACAGATCTTTCAGCTCTCCTCTAAAACAAACCTGTGATCCTTTGAAAAGTCTGAGTAATGGTTAATGCTCTCAGCATTGTAAAATCCCGCACACATTTTGTATGAAAAGCTTGTAACGTCATGACTGTGTAAGTGACTATCATACTACTCTCTGTACTCGAGTTTTTTTTGTTTTACCAAATTAGTACTGACACCTGCTGCATTCCCTCTCTTCTTCCAATTACTCACTTGTCAGCCGTGACTGATCTGTCAGTTACTTGACAATTAGCCTGGGAAACATGACTCAAAGCTGAAATCTTAAAAATGCCATTTTATTTCCTTCCTCAATAGCTGGATATCAAAAATTAAATGCAAACCATAACCAAACAGATTGGTCAAATTAAACAAACCTACATTTCCTTCTCTCCCACACTTTATTCTTGAAAAGTCGGTTTTGTGATTAATGCTGATCACTCTCTAGGTAAAGTTTCTTGGCTAAAACATGAAGTACAGCAACTTGGCACTAAATTAAAGGAAAAGGAGCAGATACTTTAATGAAAAGAGGAGCATAGATTTTGGAGTGGGGAAGGGAATGGTAATGAATAAAACATAAGGCCAAATTCTCAACCCTAATTACAGCTGTTTAACAGTGCAGAGTTGGGTAAAACTATCTACAGTTAGAGCCAAGCTGTGCCCTCATGAGGGGATCTGCAGATGGTAAATAGCTGACATAAATGGCTCTACACTGCCTACTCACCCCCTGCAGACAGTACAGTGCAGTACAATATCCTATGTTCTCCTGATCCTGAACCAGAAAAGGTCTTGATGACACAGCTGACAATGCTTGGAACAGTTCTCAGACTGTCCTAGAACGTTTCACCTGAGATGCTTTAGCAACTGCTGGTCCAAGGCGTGGGATGATGACATGGAGCTACCGGTCTCTCTCCAAACATTCCTCAGGTGCACTCAAGCTAAACTTGGGGTAGCTGAAAAAATCGGACTCACCATTCCTATTTTATGCCATTCACATGCACAGCTCATGAATTCAGCCACTTTTGGGTGTATCAACACTGCAAGTTAAGGTGTGATTGTAGCATATTTACTAGGGCTATGCAAAACAGCACTGTTTCGCTTCGACTTCTATTTCAATGGAACAGTGTTTTGTTTTGAGTTTAACTTCATTTCGAAAGCACTGTTCAATTTTGTTTCGTCAAAACAGTTTTGCTATTTTGATGCTGTTTCAAGTTTCGCCCACACCCCTGGAGGAGTCCAGCAGAGACTGCCTGGGGGTGCTGGTGGGAGGTTGATGCTGCCACTGGGAGCTGAGCTCAGTGGAGGGACGTTGAGCACAGCCCCAGTGCTGTACTCCATTTCCCCCCCACCAGGCTCAGTTCCATGGGGCTGAGAGCTGCTGGGTGCTGAGCCTGGTGGAGGGAGGTGGAGTGTAGCCCCAGTGCTGCACACCACCTCCCTCCATCGGGCAGCAAACCACTAGGCACTGAGCATGGTGGAGGGAGTTGGAGCACAGCCCCAGCCTCCCTCCACCGGGCAGCAAGCTGCTAGATGCTGAGCCTGGTGGAGGGGGCTGGCATGCAGTGCTGGGGGTGCACGCTGCCTCCCTCCACTGAGCAGCAAGCTGCTAGGCACTGAGCCTGGTGGAGGGGGTGGTGTGCAGTGCCCGTAGTGCATTCTGCCTCCTTCCACTGGGTAGCAAGCTGCTAGGTGGAGGGCTTGCTGTCCAGTGCAGGGAGGTAGCATGCAGCACTGGGGCTGTGCACCACCCCTCCACTGGGCTCAGCGCCTAGTGGCTTGCTGCCTGCTGGAGGCAGGTAGTGCACAGCAATGGGGCTGCACTCCACCCCACTCCACCAGGATCAGCGCCTAGTGGTTTACTACCCAGTGGCGGGAGGCGGCATGCATCACTGGTGCTGTGCACCACCTCCCTCCACTGGGCTCAGCGCCTAGTGGCTTTCTGCCCCCCGGGGGGGGGGGGGGGGGGGC